TGGACCTCCATGGGCTGCAGGGGGACAGCCTGCCTTACCATGGTCTTCACCATGGGCTGCAGGGGAATCTCTGCTCTGGCACCTGGAGCACCTCCTCCCCCTCCTTCTTCACTGACCTTGGTGTCTGCAGAGTTGTTCCTCGCACATATTCTCACTCCTCTCTCTGGCTGCAGTTGCTGTTGCACAGCAGTTTTTTTCCCCTTCATAAAAATGTTATCACAGAGGTGCTACCACCGTCACTGATGGGCTCGGCCTTGGCCAGTGGCAGGTCCATCTTGGAGCCGGCTGGCATTGGCTCTGTCAGACATGGGGGAAGCTTCTAGCAGCTTCTCACAGAAGCCACCCCTGTAGCCCCCCAACTACCAAAACCTTGCCACGCAAACCCAATACAAGTAGTGAACTGATTGCTTTTTGTAATGCAAATTTGGCAGTAGCAAGAAGAAGTTAATAATGTGGCTACTGTTCTCTGACAGCTTTTTAATAACTGTCACCGTCTTTGATAAGGACACTGGTTTACATCAGCTTGACTTTTTGTTTCTCTTACTTCTTTGGATCACAGTACTGCTCTTTTAACTTGTTTTGTATCTATGCTTCATGCAAGTTAGTCTTCAGAACAGTGTTTTCTAAAGAACATGGGTTTCCATATATAAAAACAAATTTAGTTGGTCAAGGCACAATGCATTAACTTGAAGCAGTCCAATGTGATCTTTTCCTTTTGCATTTGTTGAGCTGATCCAAATCAGTTCTTACTAATTTTAGTAAGAAGTGAATCTCTTTAACATTTGTCAGTCGGTGGTTTTATTTTCAAGCAGCATTACTGCTGTTTCACGTCAAAATTCGATTTTGCGGCGTTCCAGTATGTCATCAACATTTCAGTCAGTTCTAACTGTCTGTGTTAGAGTTGTATGCCGTTGGGACAAGAAGCCTTCAGTGCACATATTTCCCAGAGAAATCTTGTCAGTAGGAGAATTTAATTAAACAGCATGAGTCTGTACAAGCTGCCCACCTAGGGTGATGAGGATCAGAGGACTGGTGAGGACATAAAGAGGCAAGACAATCTCTCACAGCAGAGGAGCGCAGAGATGGAAACAGTAAGCAACAAACTGTCCAAATAGAATAGCTGTGAATGAGTAAATAATTGGTTTAGACTGTGTTTGACTAATACTGCGTGAACACGAGCAGGGGATAAAATTGCCTAATCCTTTGGAATATAGACAGGCATGTGGCTGCTAACCTGAAGCATGTGCTATAGTCAGCGTAATGATAAGGAGTTTTAGACTTGGTTGTGATAGGAACTAGCAGATGAGGAGGGTTACTTTTTTTGTCTTTGATTACATATAGCCAGGCTTTTCAGCCAGACTGGGTTACATATACTACTGTAGATATATGTAATGCAAGTTATGTTGAACTTGGATGTCACATAATCCTCAGTCTTGTGTACAACTTGCACACTGGTATTTTTAATAGTCTGTTCTCAAACAACATAAAGCAAATACAGAATCTTTGCTCCCACCTGTGTTTTGGTGGCGCAGCCCTCCGAAAGCGGGAGCAAACTATCATGTAGGTCCTTTCTCCCCGCCCTCACTGGAATAAAGGATACAGTCAAGGAAAAGGAGTATAGCCACATGCCAGTGTGCTCAACTGTTATAATAGCTGTTAGAAATGCCACAGCATGATGACCTTGGCATGAACAAATAAAAATGTTGTGAGGTTGGCGGCACTTAACGTCTGACTTACAGCCAGTGCAGTAGTATTTCTGCACTGCAGTAAAGGCAGTCACAAACAGTTCTCAACAGTCAACAAAACTTTGCATTTCAAAGCTAGAGGGAAGAAATTTTGTATTTTTTCAACTTCTCTCTGATAAAAAAAATTGGCTGCTTTCCAATTTGTTTTGCAGGTATGTTGCCAGCTGGATAGAAACAAGGAGATACCAATCCGAAAAGGCTAACTTGACTGTTCTCTTTGATAAATATGTGCCTCCTCAGTTAGAACAACTCGGAACAAGATTTAAAACTGTTACTCCTATTCCTGAGAATAGTATGGTTCAGGTATGCATTAGGATTAAAACTATTTATATTTTAAGAAACAGTATTTCTGAAACATCCGCTGAGCATGTGGTCCTAGGCAGGAGCAAAAATGGTTAAAATTGCTGTGTGTCTGAAATGTATGTGAGGTGAAATTGAGAGGCTCTTATATATTGACTCTGGACCCTTATTTTGGAGACCTACAGGGATTCAGATGTTTTGTATTGCAACAAGAAGAAATGTAGTGTGTTTACGGCACTGCACGTAATTCCCTGACTTCTCAGTTCTTGTGTTGCTTCTGTTAGCGATGTCTTAGGTAGCTGAGGGCTAGCCATTTCATCTCTCTACACAAGCATTCTGCCTCTCTCTAATTAAATGCTCACTAAATTCATTAGTGTTAGTTACTCTCATACTCTGATAATGAGGCCCTACGTTATTAAACATTATTAAAGAATGGAGCTGAGCTCTGTTTCATATATAAATGATCTGATACTGCACATCCTTATGTTAACATTTTAAATTTACTTTAAATTTACTGTCATTCTAAACTCCTCTGAGTGTTTGCCTGCTTCTAGATAAGTCAATATGAGAGGAGAAAATTAATTATTGAGTATGAGTGTTAAGAATTTGCCATAACATACATGCCTGAACTGTGTAATCTTCTGCATATACCTTGCTTTAAGTAGTGTAGAATGACGGTATTTTGGTGCATTTTATCAGAAGACCTCTTCATGCCTTTGACCTCTGAAAGGAGATCCTAGACAATAAGGAAGCACAGCAAGGAGTTGCAGTCTCACTACTTACATTTAAATACCTTCTTGAGGTCACTGTCACCTTCCTATGGAGTAAGACTCACAGGTCACTCTCTTCCCATATTTTTTATTGCAGACACTGCTGGATTGTTTTCTGACCCCTGAAAATGTGCCAATGGATTGCCCCAGAGAGCTCTATGAGATATATTTTGGTTTTGCTTGTATTTGGGCGTTTGGTGGGGTGCTCTCTCAAGATCAGGTAAGTTAATGAAAATGCCCACAGTATCACTGTGCTTGAAAAACAGATATTTTATATATATATATATAGATATAATATATATACACACCTACCTACATATTTAAACAGATATAAATACATATGTGCATCTGTGTGTATATATGTACATGCAGGTTTCTACTCACTAATACTGATAGGGGGTGCAGAGCAATGGCCCGTGCATCCAGTTTGTTGGCCTGTAGTACTGCGCACTTTAGCTATCAGAGCTCATCTGTAAATGAGCTAACTTGACTGGAGGGAGCTGACTGCCTACAGTGCAAGACTGCATGCAGAGTCATTTACCGTGCATAGAGAAGGTGTGTTTACTTAGGGAAGTGTTACCAGCTGTACTTTTTTATCTATACTAAAGTCCCTGACAAGCAACAAAAAGTAATATGAGGGTCATGCCTACCAGAATTAAAGCATTTAGTAAAGGGCTGGACAGATGTATATTTAATCTCACCTGCTGGATTTATACTGAGAAATGTAGATATAAGTAAGGCATTATAATGCATTCCCCTTAGTGAGATTTTTTTTTTGTTGTGATGCTATAAAGGTTTGAAGAAGAAAGTATTAAAACTCTACAATTATTTCTCAGTGTTTTACTTAGATGGACCTTGATTTCTTGAGAAATATCTAGTCATACTTGCCTATTAAAGACTGAAAAAAACAATTGGCTTTACTGCTGTTTAAATTAGATGAAGCCCTTGTGAGTTTAGTTTATAAATAAGTTTATACGTGCATCATCCACAGATAAAGGAGCACCTTGCATAAGCTGAAGAATCAGAAGCAACACATTATTACATCAAGAGACTGGGAAGATCTTTTTGGTCATTTTAACATCTGTTTTCCTATCCTTCAATGGCCTCAAGTTGCGCCAGGGGAGGTTTAGATTGGACGTGAGCAAAAAGTTCTTTACTGAAAGAGTGGTGAAACATTGGAACAGGCTGCCCAGGGAAGTGGTTGAGTCACCATCCCTAGAAGTATTTAAAAGACGTGTAGATGAGGTGCTTAGGGACATGGCTTAGTGGGCATGGTGGTGTTGGGTTGACGGTTGGACTCGATGATCTTAGAGGTCTTTTCCAACCTTAATGATTCTATGATTCTATCATTCAAAAAGACTTGCTGTTCTGTGGACATACTCAGGAAGGTCTTGTCTGAAGCAAGTCATCTCTGTGGTCTCACAGCTATATAAATTTAAACTGAATTTAGAAGTTTTAGGAAATAAAATATTTGGGCTGGATATGTGGTGGGTTAGCCTTGATGAACAGCCAAACACCTGTCCAGCTGCTCTCTTGTTCCCCCTCCTCAGCAGAGTAGGGGGAGAAAATAGGCTGAAAAAGCTTGTGGGATGAGATGAAGACAGGGAGATTGGTAAGCAGTTACTCTCATGGGCAAAACAGACTTGATTTGGGAAAACTTAATTTAATTTGTTGCCAATTGAAATGGATTTGGGTAGTGAGAAACAAAGGCAAACACTAAAACAAAACCTTTCCCCCTCCCACCCCCAAGCTCAGCCTCACTCCTTCACTCCTGACTGCTCTATTCCCCCATTCCAAGCGGTGTAAGTGGATGGTGGGTTATGGTCAGTACACAGTTGTTTCTCTCTGCCACTCCTTCCTTTCACGCTTTACCCTTGCTCCAGCATGGGGTCTCCATGGGCTGCAGTGCTTCAGGGCATATTCACCTGCTGCAGCATGGGGTCCTCAGGGGGCTGCAGTGTGGGTATCTGCTCCAGCAACGTGGAGCTCCTCCTCCTTCTCCTCTTCCTCCTCCTCCTCCTCCTCTGACCTTGTTCTGCTGTTTCTGTCTTTCTGCCCTTTCTTGAATATGTTTTCCCTGAGGCGGCGCCAGCTTGGCTGAGGGGCTCAGCAGTGTCCCGCAGTGGGTCTGTTGGAGCTGGCTGGAACCAGCCATGTCCAGCACAGGGCAGCCCCCATCCTCTCCTCACAGAGGCCACCCACTGCCAACATCTTATGCACTCAATCCAGGATGTCATCAGAAGGTGGTCTGTCTTTAGCCCCTTAAACAGCAGGAACACTAAGATATTGCTTTGATGTTCTTGGTTATTTCATCACAGTCTACATGTATATGCATTTAAAAATAAGATTTATTTGTAAGTCTGTTTTTCATATGTGCTTCACATGAATGTCTAGATATGGAAGAATGTACTGTAAACAATTAATGCACCATTTTATAGCTTTCAAAATACCAAGCTTAATTCAGCTGCTGGTGGCTTAAGAAGATGAAAGCAGTGAAGTTTCCATCCCAGGGCACAGTGTTCGATTATTACCTTGATCCAGAGACAAGGAAGTTCCTGCCCTGGGTGGATAAGGTCCTGGGTCCTGATGTGGATCCAGATGCATCCCTGCAGGTACAGTGCACACCAGTGACCTCATGCTGAGCATTGCTAGATGCAGGAACATTTTAGGGTCTTGTCACGATTTCTGACATCATCTTAGATGTCCTGGAAGTAACACTCTCTAGATGTGTTTGGATAAATCTCCGCTATCTGGGCCACGTGCCTTTAGTTGAGCGTTGAGGATTAATGACGAAGCGACATTTTTATTGATTTTTATATTAAAGCACTCCTGAAGACATACCATATTCAATTTGTTAGTGGTTTATACCCTTTTTCCACAGTAGAAGAAATTCAGGCTCCAAGTCCATTTAATTATTGAAAATAATGCCCACAGCAACTGTACACCACAAATTGAAGCCTTAACATTTTTCTATTGCCAGCTTTATGCACAGGTATTCTTTTGCTACCTAAATTCCCTTCTTACTAACAGAAGTGTATGAGGTCTAGGGGAAGCAAATCACTTTATCATCACCTCTCCACTATATTCTTGATCAACTTACGAAGTTAGAGTTATATTTGGAATACAAATTGTAGAAGGTATGATAGTATGATATATACCTGTCAGTGGAGAAATAGAAAGCATGAGCTATTAATTGTAATTGCCTCAGTTTGGAGGTTTGGTTGCTTTTGCTCTTTTTTTCAGTGTGATTTGCATAGAATACTCTCAAATGCTTCATGGTGTTTTGATTGCATTAACTTCTACGTCTTTTTCTTTTTAAATGCTTAGATGAGTAGGAATTTTCCTGGAGAGATTAGAAGTTTGTGGGCATAGAAACATGGAGCTGATGATCAAAAGACATTATCTGTTATCAGCTATCCTGTAACAAGTTCTCTCTAAGGGTTAATACTTGATAGGAAAATACAGAGCTTGGAAAAGAACACTTTATCAGGCAATGAAGGTTTTAGATGCTCACAGTAAGTAAAGCTAATCTATGGCCAACTATTTGCCCAAACAGTTTTCGGTATGCTGAAAGCCAGGCCAAAAAGTAAATGGAAATACTAATTGAAAAATTAAACCAGCTACCTGATGCACCAACCTTTGTTTCTCTACCAGTTTTTGGGAGACTGGCATTCTGTAAAGGTTGATATGGAACCAACGCATTTCAGCTACAACCTCATTTCAAAATCTTCCTACTAGAAGAAATTGAATACAAATTTTCAAGTAGAAATGCTGTGTAAAAAGTAATCCAGCAGAAATTTTGTTCTAGTAATTATGTTTAAGAACAAGAGAACGGTGTATCCCGTTTCATTGCTTTTTAGAATTCAGTCCTAGCCAGAGAGAGAGAGAGACAGAAATTACTGTTTGCTTTTAAAACTAAACTGTGTTGTGCAAGTGTTTGATGGGTTTTTTTCCTTTTTAATTTCAGGCAATCTTTGTTCACATATCTGAGACTGCATGTCTCAAATATTTTATTGATTTACTCTTAACAAAAGGCAAACCAGTCATGCTTGTTGGAAATGCCGGAGTAGGAAAAACAGTGTTTGCAGGTGATAGGCTTGCTGCTCTCTGTGAAGACTACCTCCTGGCTAACATCCCTTTCAACTACTACACATCATCAGCAGTGCTCTAGAGTAAGCTCCATACAGATGCAAGAAACCTGTCTTCCCTCAACAGCAAAGGTGAAAAATATTACGCAGTTATTATGATCTCATTACAACTGTTGGCTACTGCCGTTGTCTGGGTCTTGGCAAGCTCATCACTTTGCAAAGTGGAAAACTTAGCGAAGTTGGGCCAGGCAATAGGAAAGGAGGAGGATGAACCTGTTTGGGGCAAACTGGCACTGACAATGTGCTCCCACAAGTTGCTCTGTGCTTGTGGACGAGAGAAAATTTGGCTTTACCTATGTTAACAAGAAGCCTTGAGCCAGCTTTTGCTAGCCTGGGTGTCTCTGCATTGTGCCTGTAGATGTACCAAAAAGGACAGTCAGGAGTTGGGCTTGCTTTTGCTAGGCACCTTACAATCCCCGAGTAGGGGCAGTCCCTGTCTGGAGAAGTTTGGAGTCTCCATAGGCAAGATGGATGCAGAGCAAAGGAAATGTTAATATAACACACAAGCAGCGGGGGATGTATGTTGGCCAAAAACACTACACTGGTGGTAGGTTTTGGAATAAGAGGAGTCATACAGTCAAAGTAAAATAGGCTCGTAAAAGCTCTGTGTCTCCTGCTTTTCATGAAAAGCGACACAATCAAGGGAGATACCAGCTGCCAGTGGATGTGCCCTCTTGCCTTCTTTTTTTAATCTTTACAGTAATTTGAACTGTTACAACTATACAGAAAAAATTACATGCCCTATTCACTGTACAGCTTTTTACAGCTGTAAGAAGCACTAGAGAAAGAAGTTAATACAACTGTCTTATCCCCTCATATGTCTGGACAAAGATACGGAAAACAATTTCTCGCTTTTAAAAACTTTCCAAAATGTAAGGAGTCTATAGATAAAATCTTTAGAAGTATTTAAGTTTGCTTGATGCTTCATCTAACTGCTTATGCAATCAAATTTTTAATTTTTAGTCAAGCTACATTGCTGCTAATGGATCAGATTGTCACTAGGCTTAAAAACATAAGTATAAATCCACAAATCTCTATTGAATAACCCTTTACCCTGCTTTTTCTTTCCTGTCTCCTCTTGATTTCTTCTGTATTCAGGTCAGATAAGCAAATACCGCTTTCGGTTTACTTTGTAACTTAGTTTATTCTTTGAAGTGTTTCCAAATTCATGTTAACTTAGAATCCTGCATTAACAGAACTTAATTGCCTTTTTGCCCCTCAAAATGAATGGAGATATTTGGGGAAAAGAAGTCTGCTGCGTGTCAGAGCGAGATCATGAACCGATGTAAACTGTTATAGCTCCTTTAATTGGGAATCGGCCTTAAAAGGTTTTCAGATATTCCTCTGTTCTGAGAGGGACTTTTTAGCTAATGATTGCCATTCCAGCAGCAACCATGGCCAAGGCACTAGAGCGCAAAGGCATAACATTTTCCATTGTAAACAGAAGCTGATGAAAGGAGCTCCTAGGAAGCAAAGGTTGTGGATTCTTGCAGGAAACTTCTTAAATAAACCAAATAGGTGAAGTCAGCACTACAGGGGTTTTCTTTCCAAGAGTATCACACCCACCAGCTGTACTGTGGCATAAAAATGGGAAGTTTATGAACCTTTAAGGATAAAGGTTAACGGATAACTATCTGGAGAACAAGTCTTATGAGGAGCAGCTGAGGGAACTGGGGTTGTTTAGCCTGGAGAAAAGGAGGCTGAGGGGAGACCTCATTGCTCTCTACAACTACCTGAAAGGAGGTTGTAGCGAGGTGGGTGTTGGTCTCTTCTCCCAAGTAACAAGCGATAGGACGAGAGGAAACAGCCTCAAGTTGCGCCAGGGGAGGTTTAGATTGGACGTGAGGAAAAATTTCTTTACTGAAAGAGTGGTGAAACATTGGAACAGGCTGCCCAGGGAAGTGGTTGAGTCACCATCCCTGGAAGTATTTAAAAGACGTGTAGATGAGGTGCTTAGGGACATGGTTTAGTGGGCATGGTGGGGTTGGGTTGATGGTTGGACTCGATGATCTTAGAGGTCTTTTCCAAACTTAATGGTTCTATGATTCTATGATTTGCTATGAAATGTTAGCAGTATTCCTTCAGATTTTAAGTCAAGTCAGTATTGTAAAACATCCACCGCTCCTTCTAAGGAATATTAAGAGATGAACAAAGAAGTGGACTCCTCTGGTTGTCTGCTGCTTTTCAGCCAAGTCCCTCTTGTTAAATGCTCTATTAACAAGTCCCTCCACTAATCACAGCAGGTGAAGAACTGTGTGACAATTCAGAAACAAATATATTGTGTTGGCTTTCCATTGTGTTTACAACATTTTTTTGGTGAGCTGTGGTGGAATGATTTTGTTCTGTCATGTATAGCTCAAAATGACTGCCTCTTACGTTATTTTTGTGTTTGTGTGTACCAATGCTTCTTCCTATAAAATGTGTTCAAGTGATACACTGAAAAGCCTTCCGTATGTGTTTTAGGCTACCACTCCAAGCAATTGTTTGGAACAACCAAATTGTTGGATTTCTTTTTTTAATGGAAAGAGGCATTCACATCAAATTACACAAATGAGCAATTTAAATTAAGTCTCAGTGCAAAAAGAAGAGCTTAAGAACTGAACTTGTTGAAGTACAGTTATTCACTACATTGCCATGTTCTTTCCATGGTTTAGAGGTTGAAAGATTTTTCTTACAGATCATATCGCTTTTAATCTGCAGTATTTTCTGCCAGCTCCCATCTTAGCTGTATCCATATATCTTTTTTTTTGAGCTATATGCTAGAGTGGGTGAGATTAGCATGTAGTGTTGGGTTTTATTTAGCATTCCCCCAAGGCATATGACTCACTTGCTCTGCCTCTAGAACAGCAGAAAATTTCAAAATGTTACTTGGTGGAGGCAGGTTCTGATGCAAACTAATATTGGTACATTAAGTTCAGGGTCTTCAATAGTACTAAAGTCTGGAACAGTGCCACAGAGAAGAAATTTGCATAAACATTTATGTACAATGGAACTTAGTACAATGTATTTCCTTACTGTACTGCAATAATACAGTATTTTTTAAAATACAATAGGAGTAATAGATTATAATTGTGGACACTATTTAAAATTTAGATAAGGTTAAGGATCAAGAAGGAGTATTCCTAATTTGGGGTTTAAAAATACAGATATATATGTACCTCAGCTAAAAGAAGAAGAAAATCTTCTTTTACGTAAGATTTTAAGGTAATTAAGGTACTCTAAACCTTTCATATGCATATAGTTTCTGCATTTTTCCCCTTTGTGGTAGAAAAGCAGGATAAGTGCACTCATGGCTCTTTTTCCCCCAAAATTTATGATCATCCAGTTGCAAATATGTTGAGGTTCTACATTTCTATCTTGTCCTCCAGCACACTTTCACTTTTTATCTGCTTACTTCTCTTCTCCACAGTCAGTAACCGTCCTTTTAGCTGACTGTGACTAGATGGAAATGTCCTTGGAAGCATTTGGTACCTTTCTTGAATTGTTGAGGTTTGCAGATGATATATTTCACTGTTTGAAGAATCCAAGATGACAACACAATACTCTTTTTGTCCTAATGGAAACTTTTTGCAGTGATATATTTGTTTATACTGCTTTGCCTAAGAAACCAAGAAGTCTGCTGCAAGTCAGAAACACAGCAGGGCTATGACATACAGCATTCAGCTGTCACTATGCAAGTGCAGTTTCCATTTCTCACCAGCTCTTGTGAACATGTTGCCCAGTTTAAAAAAAAACAAAACAAGTTCAGAACCATATGCTTACATTTCACTTTGTTTTTAATCTAAACCAAAGGTTTTTAACATACAGTCTAATACAATGGAAAAAAGAAAGAAGTCTGTAGTCTGCATTTTTTTCCTATTCTACTTATTATACATGGAACTGATAATTTTTTTTTCTCCTCAACCTCCTTTCTTTTTGACAAATATTAAAGTTAAAAAAAAAAAGTGGGCTTGGTCATCTCAAAACCAATAGCAGGTGTAACCCAAATTAACGACACTATTTACTAGACAAAAAAAATCTGGGCTAGATGCACAAAATTTTTGAGAAATCTTTTTTCTCTTGCCCAGCAGTATTGAGTAAGAAATCTCATGCATATGAAATCTGAATTAAATTCTCTCCTGTGCTGCAAGGGTTGTAACTACCATCTTCCCTAAATGTTTCATAACCACCTTTGGTTCAAATCCCTGCTCTGAACGAGGCAGAGTGTGCTTTTGAAATTAGGCTGCTCACCAAAAATGAGAGCCCCAGTCACTGGGACATGCTGAAAAGTTTTCCTTGAAGTCCACGTATTACTGTGGTTTCATTTTGTGATCATTTGGACAACAAAAATATATGACTTAGGAAGGAAGAGAGATGAGATTGTTTGTTAGTTTCCAGTCCTGCTTTAATAAATTCCTAATGATTGCTGCAGGTTCTTATTTCTACGCACAAAATAGAAACAGTGCAATTAGAAATCAAACTTCCATGGATGATGAATGCTTTCTTGTGAATCTGTGGAATACTTCATGAAGCGGCAAAAGTTGAGGATCACATCATACCAAAGTTCAATATTTTAATAATGCTTAATACAAGTGGTTTTCTTCTATATTTTCAAGATTACTTAGCAGCTTTCTGTAGGTATTCTTTCCCTTACACCTCTAAGGGAAGCAGTGCAGTTGGATAAAAATTGTATAAACTCAAAATTTATGTCTCAAGATTTTACAGTTCTGATGAATACATAAGGGCATTTGAATTAATTTGTTCACTGTTGTAGTAATTTTGTTATCTGATGGTCTGCATTCAGCATCATGTAAGCACCTCATTTTGGGGAATAGGCTGAAATTTAATGCAATCAGCTTAATATTTCCTTAGTATGGGAGATGCCACGCTAGTTTCCTGATTAAATGTCCTGATTAAATGATATTTTATCATTCATATTTTTACACTTTACGTATGGTAAAGTCCTTGTTTAATCCTTCCCAAGAGAAGGGGAAAATAATCTACTTCACTGATATACTTGCTGAGTGTCAGGATACCTGGGGATTTCACATTCAAAGCATTTCAGTTCCAAAGGATGCAGATGGATATGCAGTGAGATTTTTCAAAAGCTGTGAAGTAGTCAACCAACTAAACCAACAAGACTCTTCTGGAATTCAGAATCCCAGTGTGATGTTTTTTCAAAGGCACCCTGTGAGTTTCACTGATTACTAAGGACTTCAATAGTTCAAAAACCCTTGTAGGTGGTGAAATGTTTCATAAATTTTAGCCAGCATGATTTTGAATTCTTGATTTGTTTAGTTTCAGTATTGCTTAGTATGGTAATCATTTTTATGTATGTTGTGTTACATTTCAGAAATGCTTGAAAAAAAGCTGGAGAAAAAAGCTGGTCATAACTATGGTCCAGTAGGAAATAAGAAACTTATCTATTTTATTGATGATTTGAATATGCCTGAAGTGGATAGATATGGAACAGTTCAACCTCACACGTTGATTTGGCAGCATATAGATTATGGACACTGGTGAGCATTTACTTCTTACTTAATGTTATGCTGTAATTTTTATATTGTGGTCCATGATGGGATCTCTAAACCACATAGAAACAGAAAACTTCCAAGAAAATTGCTTAAATGGAAAAGCATACTGTCCCTGGAGGTTATAAACAGTTTTAGAAAAGAGAAGCATAAAGTGAAGGGGCTGTAGAGAGTCTTGGAAGGAAAGTATCCTTCAGCTGCTCCTGATGGAGCTGCTGGATGTTGACCCTATTGATTGACCTGATAAGAACAGGCATGTATGAGAAACATAAATTGATTCCCTAAATTGCAGCCTGCCAACTGTTCAGCTTATGCTACCACCTATCTTTCCATCACCCTGTAAAGACAGCAGACAAAATCCACAGAAACTTTATGGTACTGGTTCAAATGAATGATCTTTCTGTGCCATGAAAAGAAAAACACAGGTGATGACCACTGAAGGATAATTAAGTTGGTTTGGGCAATTAAAGTAATTCGCTTCTTACTTTCCAAAGGACAATTTAATTTTTTGGCAGTTAAAATATATTAATATCCTTTTATCAGAGTCTGTGGAAGGAGGTCTTCAGTTTAAAATCAACTGATGCAATGTTTCATTTTGTTCCATTACAGAAGGATCTACATCTTCTGTAAATACTTAGTTGTTACTATAAGTGCATATTAGATTCTTGTTCATATACAAGCATGTCATGTGACATGAAGAAAATGTGACATACAAAGAAAATATTGTGAATGATCTGGTGGGTAAAGGAGAAAAGTAATCAAACATTAAAAAAAAAAGTTAAATGCACATCTGTCTGTGTATTGTAGCCTTACAATTTTTGTTTCAGCAAGGGTGGTTCTTTTCACTGGCACATATGCTGTGATCTGACTACAATTGCGACCAAGGTGAGACAATAGCATCTGTACTGTTCTTGCATCTTTTAATGCAGATTCAATTGAATCATATAAGCTTTTCACTAGGTCGTACTTCATCTCATGAAGGAATGATACCAGGTGTCAGCTGAATATCTTGTTAAGGAATGAGATGTAAAGAGAAAAAAGGAAGTGACTGCTCAAATCTGAAGCATCTCTAGCTCAGAGAAATCAGTCAGGTCTAATTCAGTGACATGCAAAGCTAACATCTCAATGCCCTTCTGTTTTCTTCCCAGAGGTATAAGCTATTCTAGCCTGGAATCTTTTTGTTTTCTCACAAAGATTTCAAACGTCAGCTCTTAAAAGTTCCTACTGCTAAAAAACTGTTGATGCTTCTTTCTTTTGAATTGTTTTGAATTGTTTCTTTTGAAACAAAACCAAATGAAAAAATTAAAAATCTCCATTTTACAAAACAAATCAAATTAGGAAAAAAGTTGACCATGCCATTCAGGAATTTTGAACATAACCATCTGAGAATTCTAATATAGAGTAAAGTTTGTTGCAGACAAATGGAAAGAAGGAGAATGTATTCTACTATGACGTTCTGGGGAGGATTTGTTGATTTAAGCAGGGAGTGCCTGGATTATTTATGAGTTTTTCTTTTACTGCTTTTTTAAAGATGGTAGCTGCTTGGCCTAGTTCAGTTGTAGGCTAACTTCTAAAGAAACAAGACTCTGTCTTCAGATTTGGGCAATCAGAACTCAAATTGCCAGCTACTGAAAGCCTCTTTGTTTGTTTGTTTGTTTGTTTGTTTGTTTGTTTGAAGTGCCCTCCTTTTAATTCACCTGGAGCGATGTCACCTGGAGAGCCAGAAACAGTATCTACTGGATGCTGCTGCAAAAAAGGGAGTGACCTTTTAAGCCTGCCACCTCCTACTCTGTGATGTTTTCTCTTAGGTGTGCTTAGTGACAGTTGTTTTACATAGCTCTCAGAGGCATTTCTTCATACATGTCAAGATGATCTTTGCTGTTTTTTTCTTACTGAAATCTGTTAATTTTGTCTGCTCTTATCTATCATGGTTGTGTGCATTCTCAAATTGATTTGAACTTCCTTTGACCATGTTGTACTCATCCAAGTTGGTTTGGAGCCAGTTTCATTCAAAAATCTCTATCATCGTCAGAATGCTTTGTGAGAATGTAATATCTTCATTTCCACAAAAATGTTGAACAAAAGATTATGTGATAGAAATTGCGGGATTTTTCTTAATTTTAAAATGTCCATCCTAATTTGATGCTTGTATTCCAGATTTTCCATAGGGCAGAAATGTTGGTTCTTCCACTGAGTTTAAGCCTGGAAAATGTACGGTATTTTGTCACTACTATTGATCAAGCTCCGTTTTCTTTCTCAGGTATGATAGGCGAAGCTAACTATTAAAGAAATTCATAATTGTCAGTATATTGCCTGTATGAATCCAACCGCTGGCAGCTTCACTATCAACCCTAGGCTCCAGGTATGGTTTGAAGTGTCATGTTATAGCAATCCTGTATTTAATACATGACATAATTACTATTTAGCTTTTCACTGCAATAGGTAGGAGACGAAAGGGGATAGGAGAAAACATAGTGTCTGAAACTTAGTATAGGTTCAAGATCCTGCTGTTCCTATAGCTAAACAGAAGGAAACAAACCATATTTATTATGATATTGAGATTCCCCTGAATTTCATAGCAATTGCAGTCTCATGGGGTCCTTCATCTGGCACCTGGCAGATGTGCCCTTGGGGCTTATAGCCAGACATGCAACTGCTGTGGAACTGCATCAAGGATGAGGCTAGAAATGAAGTACTTCTGTGACACACAAGTAACTGTATTTTCAGCAGGCTGTACTGTCATTTAACACTTCATTGAATCTTAACTGCTGTCTGATGCTGAAGAATCTTTATCTCTTTTTCCCTTTTGATTTTTCGGAGACGTTTTGCAGTATTTGCTTTGAACTTCCCTTCTTCAGATTCCCTGACTATCATCTGTAGCAAGATAGTTTGCTTCCACTTCCAGCAACATGCTTTTACTCCATCATTAATCAAGAATATTCCAGCCATCGTACAAGCAGCCATATGGCTTCACCAGGCAGTGGTTCAAAACTTCCCACCAACTGCTATGAAGTTCCACTATGTCTTTAACATGAGAGACCTCTCCAGTGTCTTCCAGGTGTATATCATGGGTTAATTTTCTACCTAACAACACTCTATTATTGCTGCTTTTTATTATTTAATGATGTAAATTGGCCAGTGGACCAATGAAGAACAGATGGTCTTTGTACAAAGTAGAAGATAGTCCCTGCCCTGAGGTGACTATGGTCAGGTAGATGAAAAGGGTAGAAAGCTGAGAAAGAAAAGATATTTAGTGGAAATAGAGTAATGGTTTGCAAAGTTTGCTATTATTTTGAGAAGAGAAGGTCAACATCTGTTCAGAGGGAAGAACAGCTTTCTGGAGACTAGGTAGAATGAAACAGAGATTGAAGAAGCTCTGAAGCAGGGGCTGAAACCCCTGTGTGTGTGTGTATGTGTACGTATATGCATGTATATTAAAAAATTGAATTAAGTTATTTTTCAAATAATTTTAAATTGCAGTCTCTCTTTGGGCTTCAGAACATATCAGTGAAACAACATGTACGTTTTTAACTGTGAGCACTGTTGGTTATCCAAATAAAAGTACTTGTTATCAGAATTAAACTATTGAAGAGTTAAGACACTTTAAATTGCAAGACATACATAAAACAGATATGCAAGTTTCATTTTGGTCTTTCTGTTGTATGGGAATGAGGGTTTTCACAGTCCAAATACTGCACATATAAGCCAGGAAAGAAGTACGTTCCTCTGCCTTGATGTTCTCAGTTAAGTTTTGTTATGTATGCCTCTTGTTTCCTTAACTTGTCATTCATAATGAAATATAGTACCTCTCAGTATTGTTCATTGTATCAGACATGGCACAAGGAAGACAAAATAATGTCATGTAATATATAGAAAGAATAAATATTATTTATATTATATATAAATAATAAAGAAACTATACATATTTCTTTATTTTATACTAAAATTTCTTCTTCTTGGAAGAAGTTTCTTCTGGAATTAATCTGTGTTGGTGCCAATACCAAGGATGAATTAGCTAGCGAGGACCTCAATACTGTTTCTACTTGCCCTTCAAAAACTCTTCACTTGAAAACAGACAAAGCAGCAGAAACATGAACTAAAATGAACATATTAAATGCACGTATATTTGATTTTAAAAAAAGAAAATAGTTTTCCTAACAGTTGGGGAGGAGGGGGGAAAAAAAGAAAAAGGGAATGAGTATTTGAATTTATTTGACAAAAAATGGAAACAGGAAAACATCAGCTTTACTAGTCCTTTTTTCCCCTTCCTTTTTAATTTCTATTTGCTAGTAAAAGAAGGAGTGAAAAGAAATAGAATAAGAATAGGAATGAGGACACCAAAATGGAAAATTTAAAATATTTGGGAGTGTTTGAACCTAGATTCAACAGTGACTACCTACCACAAAGAAATTATTGTTCCTTAGTTTTAAATAGTTTAGACATGAACAATTAAAGATATAGACAGCTTTACTAGTAGTTGTTTGGAGTCTGGCTGTTTGGAGGTACTGTGCAAATGCTTTGAGCCCATACTTGCAGCTACTTTCAGTGTAGTCACAGTGCATGGGTACATCAATCACTACACTAATGGAATTTTTTTTTCCATGAAAATATTTTTCATGTGCTGTGTTTGGGGCATTTTTTAACTAGTATTTTTCTCTCTCACTATGTGGTAGAATGTGGAAGACCAAGTGTTGCTGCAATCTCCGCTCATCTATTGCCATTTTGCAAACAGCAGAGCAGACCCTTGCTACAAGCCAGTGAAAGGGCGGGAACCACTGAGGAATATACTTGAGGAGTTCCTAGAAAGCTACAATGAAATGCATGCTCCTGTGAACCTAGTCTTATTTGAGGGTGCCATGCAGCATGTGTACATGGAATATTGATAAAGGGAGCAAGTAATTCATAATGATGCTACCAAAGTTTGCATGAAGTTGTTGCTTTTTACTGTTCAGACTTGCAGTGCAGACTCATAACACTCTTAATGGAAGGCTTATGTGAGGGCACCCCGCAGCAATAATCCTGCTAAATATACTTTATTGGTGCCATTGTGGAAGAGTAGATTGTGGCTCAGTGTTAAAGCTAACCTCCGTTTCCTTTGTTTAAACAGAGATTCATCCTTTTTTGCGCTGCACAGAAATTAACACCACTAATTCTCCGAAGTTGGAAAGATAATCTATAATGCTGTAGATAGTTTGTCTTATCTTTTAGTTAGTTAGTGATGTTACAGGCCTTTATAAGAAAAGTAATATTTATCTTTTGTTTCCAAGAAACGGAAAATGCTTTCAAAATTAGATTAATTCAAAACAACGACAAGTAATACCTTAAGCATATACTAAATGATGCCACTGCATGGCAGACTTGAAGTTGCTTTGCTGCCTAGCCTTGTACATTTTGAAATCTAAACCAGCCCAGACTTCTAAATGTCATCATCCATTTTTTTAATTATTATTATTTTATTATACATAGATTTTTTACATATGTGTTCTTACCTTATCTCAGTTTAAAGTAATTTGTTTTTCTCATGTCAGGCAATATCTTAGTATCCATCATGGCCCAAAATCTGTTTCTGTGTCTGAAATCTGATTAACTACACTTGCTTTGTTTTCCTGCATGGAAGAAAACCAGCCAGTTTTCAGAAGATGAAGTGAAGATTTTGCTGAATAAGTGAGGCACAGACTTCATTGTTGCTCCTTGTCATTATTTATAATTTTCCTTCAATGTATACAGTCGTTCTGGTCATGTATAATATCAGTGATTTCCAGAAAGAGACAGAGGCCCATGCTGGCAGAGCTTAGTTTTGTTAAAGCAGTTTCTATTATTTGCAGTGTCAAATCATTTAACATGGAACCTTTTCTTCTCATTGAGTTGGACTAGGATTTCAGCGTCATCGTTTTTCACTCTGCACATATTCAGACAGGAGCTATATAAGAGAAGGCACTCTTGACAAAGCAGTCTATTGTAGAAGTTTCTCTCCAAGAGGATTAAAAAAGAGCTTAAATTACAAAGATAATCATATGGATCTTTCATAGGGACTGTAGATTTTGTTCTGCTGATTTAGAGGTTGATGTGATAATCATCAGAACTGCAGACAGAAGCCTTCTCAGGTATCGCTACTTTTGCTTGAAAATGTAGGTAAGCCATTATCTTCTCTCTGAAGTCTAGTGACCGAGGGTAGTATCCCAGATTGGCAAACAAAGTGGCAGGGTGTCCTAGCCTTACAATTTGGCAGTCCCAGAAAAGTATATGTGAAATTAAATCCTGTAAATTTTTTCTGCACCTTTTATGGTTGTTTTTTAATGGATCCATTGTGAAATCATGAATAAGGCTGACAAAGCTCTACAGTGAGGTCAAAGAGAATTGGCTTCCAGTAATGTGTTGTTGAACAGGTTTCTGCATCTTTATTAGATGCAATCAGATTAGACACATTATCCCTTTATTTAAGAAGGTTCTTATGGATGTTTTTTCAGGGATGATTTTTTCAGTGGCATGAGACATAAAGAGAATGAGGGGATTGCTTTTGGGTTTTTTTTTTCATTGATACATGGAAGAAAAATGGAATAAAAGGTCCAACGTGCTGTCTCTAAGCTCTGGTCTGCTGATACTAGGCTGTAATCCCTTAGAATCTGCATCTGACTTTAAAAAATGGAATTTTGAAAATAATTTTTAGATGTTTATATAAATGATTAAAATATCAATTGCAAGAGATTTAATGTTTCAAACACTTTGGGGGGGGGGGGGACGTAATTACCTCAATACTTACATTTGAAAATTCTAGCAACTAAATCTTGTCTAATTTTGGGCCAGATTCTCATCCTATAGTATTCCATGATCAGCAAATAAAAGCATGCCTTAAGTACTCTGGGCTAGATATTCCAAGAGTAAATTAAAGTTTGATGCATATTTTTCATGAAGTGATTCATCATCCTTCAGCCTTTGAGGTGCAAACTGCCAGACATGAAATTCTCATGTGCTCCTAGGGCCCAGTCAACCTCCGTTCAAGTTAACTAGGTCTTTATTCTGAGTCCAGTCAGGGTCCGTCAGGATCTTGGAATGATGCTTTGGAGCAGCTCAATGTAAAGAATGAGCAACCAGGCAGCTCTGGTCATTGTAGAGGTCAGTGCAGACCTTCAATATTTGACAAAGGAAAACAGCTTTTCTTTCTGCTTGCTGAAATATTGGAAAGAAAGAAAATGCTGACGTGAAGATAATGTACCTTTAGGTGTCAGGAGCACATTACCACAAAAATAGACAAAAAAGAAAGAAGAAAAAAAAAAAGAAAGCTTGGTGCAATAAAAAGAAATTGAGAAACTTGGCTAACAAGGTTGTTGAAGTCTGTTACGGTTTGTTTTTTTTTTTTTTGTCATCAGGTGCCAGATCAGTTGTACCCCAGAAGCCCCTAGGGGTTATGCACTTCTGATTGGAGTAGGTGGTAGCGGTAAACAAAGCTTGTCGAGGCTGGCAGCATACATCTGCTCCATGGAGGTTTTCCAAATTACACTGAAGACTACACGATCCAGGACCTGAGGGTAAACGAATAGATATTATTTGAGTCTGTTGAGTTCACTACTTGGAGAATCCGTTGTTTTGTCGTTACACGGGCTTGATAAAATCACAGGCGAAGCAGTGTAATTTACAGTAACAACCCCTGTGGTTCCTGTGGTTTCCAGCTGTATCTCTCATTTTCATCTCTGAAAAATGGGTGGTCAAAAGGTATTTTAGCGTCTACTTATGTGCTTCACAGAACTTTGGTATTTTCTCCACTTTTTCCAAGGCAGCTACTCGACACACTACAAAGATGTGGTCGGAGTTCTGATATTTAAAGTTAGCCGTTTGTTACAAATTTTGGCATTTTATTGCATGTGTATTGATTTAGTGGAATAAAATTGATGTGGGTGAACACCAGGCAAAATTTTGTCCTTGTTGCATGGGAGTCATTTAATCACTTAAACTGGTCATATGCAAAGATAAGGAATATAGTTAAGTGCTCTGTCAGGCTTACGGGCTTCAGGACCTTGCAAAGCTGAGCCCTACCTATGTGAGCAACAGGGAAGGAGGGAACATTTTCTTCCTCTTCACTCCGTCCAGACAGCTAGCAATGCTTCTGAATTTCAGGCAAGGCTAAATGAGGATCTGATTATGGCCAAATCTGGTGGATGGTGGTGCCCAAAAAGCCCTTCTGTTAGCCTTGGGCCATGGCCAAACCACCACAGTGTGTGCAGCCCAAGGCATCAGTTTTCAGAGGCAGGTACACGCTGTTCTGTTTCGGAAAAGTGCTGTGAGTTTGTCTTACATGGTGTCTAACTTCTTGTGGCCTCCTTCCCTGGGCAAATGAGGTGTAGTGTAAGATGTGGGCTCAAGTGGTCACTTCCCCCATGTTGTTTCCAAGCAGGGAAACTTCTAAGCCTTTGTTAACAAGCCTGAGTATTTGCTTTCTGCCAGGTCATGTGGCAACTTGTTCGTATCAGCCAGCACTGACCTTAATCTGTATTTCAAACATGACCACACTCGAATGCAGCTGATGTGGGTTGTTTTTTTTCTGGAACCCAACGCCAAAAAGCATTCCATGTTTGTACCACTGCTAGCACAATGGTCCCATGCCATGTCTCTCTCTGGGCCACCCGTGCGTGACAGCAAAAGTAACAGTGCACCAGTGCACTACTCAGTCTTTTTTTTTTTTTTTTTTTTTAACATGAGAAAGCTCTTTTAAATAAATTCACTATTAAAAAAAAAAAAGTCTTGCAGAAATAACCAAGTTTAAAATGGATCTGACTCTTCAGTGCAATTCCCAGACATTATTGGTATGGTTATGGCTGTTGTTTCTGGGGACTTTCATGGCCGCAATATCCGGTTTTTAGTACATTCATGGGGGGATTTCCTTGATTAGTAGTCCATTTTGATCTTTACCACTAGGACTTGTCAAAACCTCAGTGTTTGATATGGAAAACAGAGGCAAACTGCTTTTCCCTTTGGATGTTATGCAGCAAAATCGTGATATGTAAATAAACTGAAAAAAGTAAGAAGTCAGCAATGCGTTGCCACCCACTAACGTGCATTTCACACTTTTTCTGTATCAACATTTTAATGGAATATGAGTGATTGCCTCCTTTCCTTACAGGTAGATCTTGCCAGTTTGTACATCAAGACTGGTGCCAAGAACATGCCCACAGTGTTTTTGCTGACAGATGCCCGGGTTCCAGATGAATGCTTTCTTGTGCTGATTAATGACTTGTTGGCATCAGGTGATTAGACAAACACATTTCTTGAAAGATCTTTCCCAATGACAAATGATCTGTGGTTTCATTGAACTTTAAAGAGATTTTTTCTCTTTCAGGTATTTGTAGGGGGAGCTTTTAGAGAGGCCAAGTCAACCCATCCAACTTGAGAACTGAGTCTTAACTTGCTTAAGAAAGCATTGCTCATGGAGGAGACAAATTGCTAAGGCTTATCGTGCATAAGTGCATTGATCTGGGGTGAGATGGGAATCTCTCTTTGACTTAATGCCATGTTTGTATATGATTTCACTGACTTCAAGCAATGTCTTCGTGACTACATTGCAATGCAATGTAACAGACAGCGATGCAGTTTCACCCATGTTTTGAAAATCAGAGAATCTGGATTCTGAATGTGGGGATCTGGCAATAGGGTGGAAGAAAAATGGGAGTAATATCATGTTGTACAGTTGGAGAGCATCTTGAAAGATTTTTTTTTTTTTAAATTATTATTCATTTTTGCAACCAGACTGGAAAACAATTTTCTAACAGCCTGTAAAAAAAGGAACCACTATTCTGAGGGATACATAATTTATGAGTGCACTTCCTGTCGGGGCAAATATTTTTGTCTTTTTAAAACAATGTTGTTTCCACTCCCTTATAAAAAGAATTGTTCTTTTTAGGTGAAAAGGTGTGGGGAACAGGAGGAAACTGTTTTGTTACTTGATCTATCTATTATCATAGCATAGCTCTAGTTATGCGCCTAAACCCCATTGTGCTAAATTCCGTGTAGATTTTTTCTGTGGCTGTATTGTGTAAGGCTTCTCCTAACTACCCCTTTGTCTTTCCACAGGAGAAGTTCCAGATCTGTTCAGTGATGAAGACGTGGAGGGCATAGTTACAGCAGTTAGAAAAGAAGTACGAGCCCTGGGCCTGATGGACACCAGAGAAAGCTGCTGGAGGTTCTTCTTGAGTAGAGTGCGGCTGCTGTTAAAAGTAAGGCATATCTCAGGGGAGAGAGGGAGTACTGAATTGGTTAAAGTTACAACATACTTCAGTTGTCTTGTATACCAACATACGCGGGGTTATTTCTCTTGAAAGACACACTCTCCGACATGTGACACCGAATTTGCCTCTCTCGCGTTACCCCTGTAACAGCCTTCTCTATGTGGAGGTTTGGTGTACGCCAAGTTTTTCTCCTAGGCCTGGCTACTGACTTCCTGCCTGTTCATCAGAAAGTCACGTAGCTGCTCTGCATCTTAGTTTCATGGTCTTATGTTTTGAATATAATGATGCATTTCAGAGAGAAGTGAGGTGCTGATGAGGAGTTAGTGGTGCACTTAGTACAATTGTAAACATGTTCCCTAATTACATACAGTAATTCTGTATGTGTAGTCAACTCTTAAACATTTGCACAAATGACTGAAATTTCACAGTAAACATTAATTCTTTCTACTTTTCCTATGCAGTTTAAAACTGGGAAAATAAAAGTATCTATGTAGCTGTTTTCAGGTCAAAAGCAGTTTAACAATACACGTTAATATGATACCACAATTGCAACAAGTATCTCTCTTAGAACTCCGTTTTAGAGGTAATGCTGTTGAGGTTGACTGTAGTTCTCTCCTGAAAGCTGGAAAGCAGAAGCTGAGAACGCTGGTTTTGGAGTGGAACTTTTAGGAACTTTTGGGTTATGCAGGCTTCAATTTATACAACATCTGAAACATGTATGTAGCTGATAAGAAAATTAAAAGTCTGAAAACCATTAACTCTTTAGAAAGAGAGTGTTTTGAAAGGAATATGAGCTCCGTACTTTGTGTATTAGATTGATCTGTTTGATTGGGGATGAGAAGAGCCTTCCCATAGCAGATTATTCCACAGTATCTTCTGTGCAGTTTTTTTCTGCTTCTTCTGAAGTGTTTAACCACCACTGAGCTAAAGACCATTCCTATTTGGTTATGAGATTTTTTTTCAAGTTCTTACACTTTATAACATACCACTTTCTCTTTCTTTTTCTCATCTTCTCTCTTTTTCCTATCCTGCTTTAGTTTTGCTGATGTTCCCTCCTATCTCTAACTTTGTTGCAATCACTTCTGTCCCTCCACAAATTTCTTCTATAACTTAAAGGCCAGTGGAGACTTGTACGGGATCTAGTGTGACATATTCTGTATTGTTTCTCTGTTTCATGACTACTGCGTTTGTGTACATTTTTTAAGAAAGTATTGGAAAAAAATATGTCTAATATCTCTCTCCATTTTCTTCTTTCCCATTTCTTTCCCTTTGTGTTTTCCTTATTGCCCCAACAATTTCTTATTTTTCTTTGCTTTTTTTTTTTTAAGGGCTTTTTGAAAGCCAGCTTTCAAATGCCTTTTACCTTGCAACCATTTCACCAGTCCCCCACTGTGCAAATTAGCACTTCTCGAGGCAAGAACAGGAGATATCTATTCATGTAGCAGGGAAGCAAAGTAGAGACATTATAGTACTGAAGGAGACATAAATTTCATGAGTTAACACACTGGCAGATATCTGTATGGACTTCTAGTTGGTGCTGGGTGACCTATCACCTCCTCCATTCCGTAGATTTGAAGAATAAAAGACTAATAAAATGTGAAAGAGAACAAAAGGGAGAATTTAGACAGTTTCAGAATGCTAAAGCTTAGTGAAGTGAATTAAATTTTTCAATTTAATTTTAAAAACCCAACATCCTACAGTAAGCCACATTTCCCTTGTGCTCACCCATCATCTTATACCCTACAATTCTGTTTATGATGAGGTATCTGTAGCTCAGGAACCCAAACTACACAGTGCAATTCTTTGAACCACCATAGCTCTTTGGTTTTGCGTTGGTTTTGTTCTGATTGTTTTCAGTCTGGAACTTGCAATCAATTCTGCTGTTAATGTACTGAGAACATGCCATGTATGTAGGTGCAAATTTATGTCAGTGCAAGTTGGAAGTATGTCAGGTAAGGACAGTGGATTGCACCATTATAAAATGTGGGCCCACAACTGAAGTTTGTGTGAGGACATATATGCATCTGAGGATTTCAAAAGCTTTTGTGATCAATGATGAAATAAATTAAAAAGGATGAAATAAATTAAAAAGGAAGAATGCTGCTTAAGCAAGGCTGATGGCCAAACATTGTGAATGGTAATGTGCTGACAGTGCTAAGGTATGGTATTGCATAGGCTGAGAAGTTTCTAAGGCTCACAGTGGTTTACTGGAGCTCCAGAAGTTTTTCAATAACCCACATGTCTGTGCAGTAATCGCTCTTAAATACTCTGCACATTACCAACATTTTTTATAAAAGTAAAGGCTGGAAGAAGCAACTATTTCTCAAAAGCATGGATATGAGGCGCGGCCAGTCAGTCCTGCTGTCTCTTGAGCTCCATCTGATTTTATTTTATTCTTTTGGTTGTGGCAACCTTTCAATATTTTCCCAAAAATGGGAACACTGTGCCTAAATGCCTTGCAACTCACGTCCTACACAAACATAGTCTTAAATGTACTCTTTCCAGTAAACATACTCTTTACAGCATTTCATCTGCATGTTTTCCAAGTTCTACATTTCCTACTAGCTCTTCTCAGTTTCCTCAGTGCTCTTAAACATTACTATGTATTCTAAAGCCATACGTGTTATATGGCTTTTCTTCTGAACTGAATCTCTGTTACTTAGTCCCTGTGCAGCCAGTTTTCTTCATGAGCTGTGGATCTCTTCTACAAATACTTGCTCCCATTTCTTGAACAAGCTTCCTCATTGTGTATTTTCCTCATGTTTCAAAGTTTACAGTCCCTCAGTGGCCGTTGCGCAGTCCCAGCACTAAGAACTAAGTATGCTGGTTTTAGGGGAATACCATTTCTCCAGTTTCCTTCCAATAGGCAGACTTGGCTGGGCTACTTTAGTCATTACATCCTTATGATGGTCTCCTCCTTGCATAGTCCTGTCAGTATTTAGCTGGCTCCCCATTTTCTAAGGAACTCAGCAGTAAAGCAGTTTCATGCTTCAGCCAGAATTAGTGTCAAACATAGGCAGGGCAGGTGCCCTGCATTGCCACAGGCAATCTTGTCCATATTATTACTATTACTTTGCTTTTAAATCATTTCCAAGTCCTCTTTCATCAGGACATGTTAGCATTTTCCTTGTGATCTGTTTCGCCACTGACAGAACATCTCTTTTATCTGTGAATCCGAGAGGAACTTGTGCAGCTCCATCACAGCTCAACTTTTGGCCAGCTCTCGTGGTTTTTCCTTTGCGGGCATAAATACATGCACCTATTAGCCTGACTGCTTTAATCCCAGCCAAAGAGAACCTTGTTTTTAGGATTTCTGGTTCTATGTTAAACTAATACTAACCCCAGATGGGATTATATTTGTCTGATACAATGGGAAATGGAGTTCAATTGATCATGCTGTCTATTGCTTGATCAATCTCACCTCCTGACTAATTTCTGAACTCACCAACCAATTGCCACCAAGGAGGCAGGTGGATCAGGGACAGACAGACACAGTTACTGCCCTCCCACCGAATGTAGGCTCAGTTATGTTACTAGACAGCCAAGAAGCCATCGAGGATTTCTAAGTTCTGTAGCACAGAAAACAGCTGCTTCTACAGTTGGCAGGCTTCTACAGAGTTCCTGTTTCTCTATTAAAAGCTCCAGGCTTTTCTCATTTGGATGTCATCCATTTCTTCTTGAGTACTTAGTACAGAGAGCTGATTTTTAAGGATACATCTATATTAGTAAATTCGAGGTGTATTTTGTGGTCCTGAGGATTAGTGGCATTTCTCTGATTCTATGACATGGCTGGCATCCACGTGGCTTAGCTTTTCCCTTGCTCTGCTCACAAAATGATGGCGGCGCTGTAGAGCTGGTTAGGAGTGATTCCTGGTCTGTACGGCTCCTT